GACCATTTCTCAGAAGCTTCACACTTTGACTTTCTGGGCTCTATTTCGTGCCTCGTCAGCAGTGTGGCATAGGCACGGTTTATGTCAGGTCCGCTGCGCACACAAGGCATGCCCAAGCACATTTTGGTATTTTGGTGAGCGGCGGAGCCCGGCCTAAGTATCCACCCTCCCTAACTCAGCTCGTCCCAGCGGCTAGGTCATAGAGAGAGAGGAGAGAGGCGTGGAGTAGGTTTAACATAGCCGAGACCTGTTTTCGCCAATCACCTAAGCCCCTCTCCTCACCTTTAAATCCGCCACCAGCAAGGCATATTACAAGTAGTCAAAGAGATCAAGAGATGGCTGAAGACAGCAATGCCACACAATGGCAACAGAAGGCAGCTCCTCAACAAGTGTCGCTATAAGCGCTGCAGAGGGCGTCCTCCACACTGTCTCATATAAGCACAGACGGATTTGGTGTGTGTAAGTTTGGACCCACTGGTAAGACTAACACGCTTTTCCACAAATAAAGACACTCACACAAAGTTGCCTATATTCAAACCTCACGTGACAAAGGGGGGTTGTGCGCACTGATCACAACATAAATTCCAATAATGGCATTAAAATCGGAACCATCTGTGTGTAATGACGCATCGCGCTCCATGGCCTGGCTCTCTCTTTCATTGATATTGGCATATAGGATGATTTTAGCTCACACAACTGAATAATACAATATTCGTATGTAACCCTAACTGCGGATTGAATATTCACAGAATTTCAAGGATGTAAGAACATTAGTTAAACAGGTTATTTTGAATGAAAGTTTCTTTTACTTTTTTGTTGAAATTTTCCAAGTTAATAATTCATCTGATCACTAAAATAAATAATCTGTTCAGCCTTGCCGCCACAGCATCAGGACGGGGCGAGGACACAGAGACATGTCTGAGTCGAGCTGCATGAGAAAAAGGAGAAAGAGAGAAAGGGGGACAAATTAAATATCTTGTTAACTTCATCATGTGTGTCTATATACCAGATATTTAATTTCATTTAATGCGGTTTCAGCTGTCTTAATTCGGTCAGGTTGAGTGTTGAAACGCGTGCCAAACATGCTCATCAGATCAGATATAGATCAGAATATATCGATATAGATCTAAATGTATGTGCTGACTCAGAATATTGGTTGTTGTTGATTATTTATTGCACTGAAATGTGCCTGACACTGTGGAAACCTGCCGGTGAGGCATCAATCACGTGTGTGCACTACGCTGCCAGTCTACCAAAATACCACTAGACCAGCTGCGCTCCGCCTGCGCTGAAAGCTGACCAGGTTTGAATCGGCAAGCTTTCAGCGCACATTGTACGCCACCGACGAGCATGAAAATGTCACTGCGCCAGCTGATGCTGTCGACACCTCCCCCTGCCGCACCACCACACCCAGCTTGGCGGACCTCGGGATGCCTCAGTCCACGAAAATACCAAACTGGCTGCGCACTGGGCTCCGCCAGATGAAAATACCACTGCGTGGTGTCAGCCGCCGTCAGCCGCCGTCCACCGCGTTGCTGGTGGGCACGAAAATAGAGCCTTCCGTCTTTGTGCTGAAGGGGCTGAAGCCAAGGGTCCAGAGTCAGACTAAAAGGGAGCTCATCAATGAATCCTCACAACCACAAAGAAGTCCACTACACTCTGAAGAGACTAGAGGAACCTGGAAGTTATGATGATAGAAAAAGACCTGGACGAAAGAGAGTTACTACAAAAGCAGAGGATAAACATAGCATTGTCACCAGTAAGAGAGATCGGCGAAAGACAGCACCACAAATAAGGGAGGAAATCAACATGACAAGTTCAAAACCCATATCTCTGACAACAGTGAAATGATGTTTGAGAAAGGCTGGTCTGAAGGGTTGTGTATCTGCAAAAAAAAACACTACTTTGACCTATGATGACTAGAAACAAGTTCTCTGGACCGATAAAAGCAAGTTTGCACTGTTTGGTTCAAACGCAGAGTCTATGTCTGCCGACAAACTGGTGAACGTCTGAAAGCACCATGTGTTACACCCACAATTCAGCATGGAGGTGGTAGTTCCATGGTATGGGGATGTTTTGCAGGTGATGGAGTAGGAGATTTGTTTGAAGTAAAGAGTATCATGAAGAAGGAACAGCACCATTCCATCCTCCAGCACCATGCTGTTCCATCTGGACTCAGACTTGTGGCTCATAAGTTTGTTTTGCAGCAAGACAATGACCCTAATAGATAGATAGATAGATAGATAGATAGATAGATAGATAGATAGACTTTATTAAATATAAGAAGTAAGTACAATACAGACTAAAAATACTAAGTATATACAATAAATACAGACTAAATATACTAAAATTCCTAAGAGAAAAAAGTGAGATATGAAGAACGTGGACCCTAAGCATCCTGCCAAGCTCTGTCAGGGTTAGACAAAAAAGAAGAGGAAGGTGTTCTTCAAAAGATGATTTGGCCCCCTCAGTCTCCAGACCTTTCTCCAATATAGTTTGTACGGGATGAATTGGATCGATTGGTCAGAAAAACACATTCCACGAATGCACGAATGAAATCCCTGGAACATACCTTAAAAAACTTGTGGAACGAATGCCTGGTATATGCCAAGCTGTTGTTAAAGCCAGAGGAGGTTACTTTAAAGAAAGCAAAGTCTAAGCAACAATAACTCAAATACCTAATAATTATAGTCAAAATGTCTTCTGATAAGTTACTCTTTACACAATAGTCATGTTTATCGTGTTGCAAATTGTATATATGAAACTATGATCTTTTTTTGTACAAATGTGATCTTGCTTCCAAATTTTTGGCCTGTATATATATATATATATATATATATATATATATATATATATATATATATATATATATATTTATAAACATAGTCATAAAAAGATGCTAACACAAATATTCACTCATGCTGCTCAATCTTTCAAACAACATGGGGACCTCGCTGTAGTCAGAATATTCTTTTTTCTGCTTGTGTGGGGACCTGATTCAAGGACAGGTGAGGTGGCGCTTACAGGCTAACACTGAGTACTGGACATGATGTTTCTGGACAAGAAGAGGCAAGAACAATATATGTTGACCAATTTAGGAAATGAAGGCAGGATGATAAAGCCCTGTTGAGGAAATTGCCTTAAGCCTTGAACAAGAGGGGCAAACAGCGAGGACATTGATGGCATTGTTGATGGAAAAATAGAGCAAAAACAAGGTCATTGATTTTACAGAGAGGCGCAGACGCAGAGCACTTAGACACTCACCCTGTAACCCTCCTAGCTGTGCAGGTGGTTTAGAGGGTGGCATTAGATGGAGGATGTCTGACATCAGTATTCAAAGATCATGAGAAAATCTAACAGCGATGAAATTTCTCATTAAGCTGAAAATCATTTTAAACCACATTACAAGGATCTGTGATTTTATTGCTTGGTGAGCAAGACTTTGGGGCAGTAGCTACTATAAGGTAACTACATTTTCCCAACTTTTCTTTCCATCTACTTGTAGTCTGGGTTTACACTTGCTATAAGCTGTCTTTGCATTTTTACACACCACTGCATAACAAAAAAATATGTGAATACCTGGCAAGTTCCGGAGCTATTTTTACATATTTCAAAGTATTTGTAGTAACTCTGAACTGCTATGGAGAAGCTCATTTAGAATTAATTTGGCAGAAATTAGAGGACATATTTTTAATATTTGAACATTACATAAACTTCTGTGCCAGGTAGTGTCTTGAAGCTGCAACATCAGACTTAACATCCACAAGGATATACAAATAATTTTAAAAACTGCTTGTTGTCTCCAATGCTGGAGGTGTGGAGCCTTTAAACGTCTGTGTCAGGCAGCCCAAAACCATGTTGTATTTATTTTGTAAGTTTAGGACTGCTGATGTCCATGGGGGAACAGACTGATAAAAGTGATTTCTTCTACTACATAATGAACATATCAGACACAATTTTGCATATAGTTTTCTGGATTTGGTCAGACAGGTGTGTACTTCATGCATGCTTCTGGCTCCACCATGAGGCAAATCTGTGCTCTTTTTTTGCCTGATTCTCCCACATTTTCCATGTTTCCAATACCTTAATCTGGTTAGATGAATATTTGTCTTCCAAAGGTGATATTTGATTGACCATTTTTGTCACAAAAATGGTTGACTTTGATTCACCCAGAGTGAGGCTTGATTTAAGAAAGGAGCTGTGTGTGTGTGTGTGTGTGTGTGTGTGTGTGTGTGTGTGTGTGTGTGTGTGTGTGTGTGTGTGTGTGTGTGTGCCATAAAATGTCTGTGCAGTTAACCTTCAGACGGACATAAATAAAGGAATCCAAATGTGTGTGTGTGTGTGTGTGTGTGTGTGTGTGTGTGTGTGTGTGTGTGTGTGTGTGTGAGTGTGCACTCACTTTGAATATCTCCACAGGATTTCACATTTGCTTAATGCTAAAATAATTTTAATATTCTGATCATTGCTGTTTATGGCAGTAACATTCATAAGAGGGCAGAGATGAAAAAAAAATATGCTCCAGCTTTATAAAATTCCTCAGATGAGCCAACTGATTTACCAGGTGGCAGAGTTGACTAAGATCAGTTAGGCTTACTCCGCAAATTCGCCGGTGTGTAAGGACCTTAAGGGAGTGAATACTGGGATTCCTATGGAGGTAGGGGATGAGGAGTTGAAGGAGAAGCTACGTGCTAGGGGCACGGGCATTGTCAGTGTTAAAAGAATGACAAGGGGTCCAGAAAAGAAGACAACTGAGACAGTGCTGGTAGAATTTGAAGGAGAGGTAATCCCAGATAAAGTGTACCTAGAGTATATTTACTATTTTGTGAGGGCATTTATACCGAAGCTGATGAGGTGTTACAAGTGTCAGTCATTTGGCCACATTGCAAGATATTGTAAGGAGAACAGGAGGCGTGCGAGGTGCGCTGGGGACCATGAGTATGGGAAATGTGGGGAGGGTACCAAGCCAAGATGCTGTAGCTGTGAGGGGGAACATAGTGTCACGTTTGGGGGTTGTCCAATTATGAAGAGGGAGACATAAGTTCAGAAAATTAGGGTGCTAGATAAGGTAAGTTATGCAGACGCAGCAAAGACGGCAAGGCAGAGGGAGGAAAGGACACAGGGAGTAGAGGAGATGGGGGATGGTGGAAGGAAGGGGACTTGGGGGTTGGGGAGAGAGCAGTCAGGTCAGGGTAGGATAGGGATAGACAAAAGGCAGTTAGTAGTATTTATTGTGGCAGCTATCAACTCAACAAGCAAGTCTACATCTAAGACCACCAATATACAATATATTGTGAAGGCAGCAGCCGATCATCTGGGGATGGAAGGCCTAAAGTGGGAGGAGATAGAGGCAGAGATTAAAGGTCCTTACACACCGGCGAATTTGCGGAGCGAAGCGAAAAAGCGAGACGAAAATTGCGAATATTTGCCGGTCCAAAAAATCGCTTTCGCCTATACACACCGGCCGCAAAGCGAATATGCGTATATTTTTTGCTAAGCGAATTAATAAAGTCACTTTGCGGCACGGACATGACACATCACATCTGTCTCCTAAGGAAGACAAGAGAGTGTCATCTTGTGAGAAAACTACTTCATTAGTAATTCGAAAGAGTTTTGGATACACCTCAGCTGTCTTTCTCTGCGTTTTCATAATCTCAAACTTCTCCCTCTCCTCCAGCCGTATGGGTCTGTGATGTCATCAACAACATGACTTTTGATTGGCCAGAGGTCTAGCAGGTCCAGATATTCGCCTGCGAATATCCGAAAAATTCGACACAAGAGCGAAAAAATAAAAGCGGCTTTTCACCCCGCGGAAAAATCGCCGCCGGTGTGGAAGCTTGCATTGACTTTATGCTGTTTTAAAAAAAGGTGAATAATTCGCTTGGCGAATTCACGCTTGGTGTGTAAGGACCTTTAGAGCCAGGGTCGCAGCCAGGAGGTAGGAAAGTCACCTCATGCTCATGGTTTGGGTGCTGCAGTGGAATGCTAGGAGCCTGATGGCTAATGGACAGGAGATGAAACACTATATAAGGAAGATGAAGATACAGCCAGACGTAGTGTGTGTTCAGGAGACATTTTTGAAACCTAGCTTAGATTTTAAGGTTAGTGGGTATATGACTGTCAGGAGGGATAGGAATAAAGAAGAAGCAAGGGGAGGGTGTGCAATATTTATTAGGCAGGGTATTTCATATAGGCTGATAGAAAGTGGGGAAGAGCAGGAATATATATAGTGGTAGAGTTGTGGGAGGGAGGGGAGGCGGTGGTTATAGTTAACTACTATAACCCAGGGGGGAGGTTAATGTTGGATAGGTTAGTTGGGATAAAAGGGGTTGATAGACGAAAGGTTATCTGGTGCGCAGACTTAAATGCACATAACACTTTGTGGGGTGGGAAACACACAGATGTAGATGGTAGGGTAGTTGAGGAGCTAATGGAGGAGAGGGAATTAGTATGTTTAAATGATGGGAGGGGGACTAGAATAGATGTCAGAACAGGAAATGAGTCAGCTATAAATATTACATTGGTATCAGCAAGTTTGGCAGGAGTCAGTAAATGGGAAGTGTTGTCAGGTAAGTCGCTAGGTAGTGATCATTATTTAATCATGTGTACAGTAGGGGGAAGAGTGGAGGTGGGGGTGGGTAGGGGGCTTCGGAAGTGGGTGTACAGTAAAGCAGAGTGGAATAAATTTAGGGAGGTGAGTGAGGGTCTACTGGAGGTAGTTGATATGAACAGGAATGTGGAAGTAGTTAACAATAGTGTTACAACAGCAATAATCACAGCAGCAACCCAAGCTATTCCGAGGAGCAGAAATGGGAGGACCAAGAAGTTAGTTCCATGGTGGTCAGAGGAGTGTAGCAAGGCAGTGAAGGCCCGAAATAAAGCTTTCAGAAAGATTAAGCAGAATCATACAATGGCAAGTCTGTTAGAGTATCAGAGAGCACAAGCATTGGTGAGGAGAGTAGTTAGACGCACAAAGAGGGAGAGTTGGAGGCAGTTTTGTAATGGTACAGGGAGAACAACACCGGTAGGAGAAGTATGGGGTATGATAAGGAAGATGGGAGGGGACAGGAGGGAGTGGGAATACCCTGTGATTACAGAGGAAGGAGAGACAGCAGTAAATGATAAGGAAAAGGCTGAGATGATAGCCAGGGCATTTGCGAAGGTGCATAGTGTAAACAATCTGACAATGGAGGGGAAGAGGAGAAGAGAGATGACTCAGAGTAGATATCCAGGTGCTCTAGACAGGAGGAAGGATGCGGGGGAATAGACACCAGATTTACTATGGCAGAGCTTGTGAGAGCATTTAGGAAGGCAAAGCCTACAGCTCCAGGGGGAGATAAGGTAAGCTATGTAATGCTGAAAATTTTTGGGGAAAAGGGGATGAACAGGTTGTTAGAATTGTATAATTAGGTATGGGAGGAGGAAAGGCTACCGAGTGTATGGAAGGAAGCAGAGGTAGTACCGATTAGGAAGCCAGGTAAGGACCCATGCTCTCCTTCTAGCTACAGGCCAATAGCTTTGACCTTGAACATATGTAAAATTATGGAGAGAATGGTGACAGAGAGGTTGACATAAGTGCTTGAAAAGAGAGGTATGCTGGCGAGATGCCAGAGCGGATTTAGAAAAGGTAGGAACACAATGGACACAGTGGTGAGACTAGAAAGTGAGGTGAGGAAGGCGCAGGCGAACAAGGAATCTGTAGTGGTAGTGTTTTTTGACATAGAGAAGGCATATGACATGATGTGGAAGGAAGGATTACTGATTAAGGTGCAGGGGATGGGAATTGGGGGCAGACTTTTAAATTGGGTAAATGACTTTTTGAATGATAGGAAGATTCAAGTTAGAATAGGGTCAGAGGTATCTAGTAAATATGAAGTAAGGAACGGCACGTCTCAGGAGAGCGTAGTTAGCCCACTATTGTTTCTTATCATGATAAATGATGTCTTTTCAGAGGTACCAGCAGATATAGGAAGCTCACTGTTCGCAGATGATGGGGCACTGTGGAAGAGAGGGAGGAACACCAAGCATATAGTCATTAAGGTGCAGACGGCGATTGATGGGGTGACAGAGTGGGGATTAGATTGGGGGTGTAGGTTCTCAGTAGAGAAGACTCAGACTATAATTTTTACTGGGAAGAGGGTGGGAGTAGATGTGTCATTGAGTATGTATGGTAGGCAGCTGGAGAGGGTTGAGGCATTTAAGTATTTGGGGGTGGTATTTGATAAGAGATTAACCTGGGCAGATCATATCAAGCGGGTAGAGGGTAAGTGCAGGAAAGTGTTGAATGTGATGAGGTGTCTTGCAGGCAGAGAATGGGGGGCGAGCTGTGATGCATTAAAAACAGTATATGTAGCTATGATAAGGTCAGTTATAGATTATGGGTGTATTGTATATGGATCAGCAGCAATGTCTCTTCTAGGAAAGTTAGATACGATCCAGGCAAGTACATTAAGGATCTGTAGTGGGGCCTTCCGGACGTCACCAGTGCCTGCAGTACAGGTGGAGTTGGGTGAGATGCCGCTATGCCTGAGGCGCAAACATCTCATTGCAAACTACTGGATTAGTTTGAAGGGCAGCAGTGGTACCCACCCCACAAAAAGAGTGATAGAGGAGTGTTGGGAGGATGGGAAAGGTAAGAGGGATCATTTTGGTAAGATGGGGAATAGAATAGCAGCAGAGCTTGGGGTGGGTGGGATGGAGGTAGGCCTAACAGTAGTGTATCCAGCAATGCCGCCATGGAGAATGGTATGGCCAGCAGTGGATTGGAGTGTAATGGGAAAGAAAAGGAAAGAGGGAGGACAGGTAGGCTTGGTTAGCGTAGTTTATCAATGCCTGAGGGAAGAATACAGCGGCTTTGTTCAGGTTTACACAGATGGGGCAAAACAACCTGAGATGGGGGTGACAGGATTAGGGGTAGTGGTGCCATCGAGAGGAATTGAGATCAATCGAAGGACATCAGACGGTCTAGCGGTAAACACAGTGGAGATGTTGGGGGTGTTGATTGCACTGAAATGGGTGGAAAAAGTTAGAGTAGAGAGGGTAGTTATATGCACGGATTCAGCGTCAGTTTTAGCTAGCATTAGATCGTTCCATTCAAGCAGCCATCAGGGTTTATTATACAAAATATTACAGTCATTGACAAGAATAGTACAGCAGGTTGGCCAGATCAGATTTTTATGGGTTCCAGTACATATAGGGGTGGAAGGAAATGAGAAGGCAGACGTGATGGCTAAGGAGGCGTTAGGGAAGGAATCAGTGGAGCTGAATGTTAGGTTGGGTAAAGCGGAAGTTAAGAGTATGATATGGGAAAAGCTTATTCAGATAGAGCAGAAGAAATGGGAGGGTGAGAAGAGAGGAAGACACCTGTATAAGATTCAAGAGAGTGTTAAAGTTAGGAGGCTGGGTAGTGGACAGAGAAAGGAAGGGTCAGCATTGATAAGATTGAGGTTAGGTCATTGTGCATTAAACAAAACACTGAATATGATAGGGAAACATCAGACTGGGCTATGTGAGGGATTTCAGGTGGAGGAGTCAGTGGAGCATGTTCTAATGGGTTGTAGGACATATGAGACAGAAAGGGGAGAGATGAGAAATAAGTTGAGGGAATTAGGTATGCAGGACCTTACACCAAAGGGAGTATTACAGATGGGGGACAGGTCACATGTGAGAGTGTTAGTCGAGTTTTTAAGGGTGACGGGGTTGATTGATAGGATTTAGTCTGTAGGAGTATGAATGTGTGAGTGTATGAGATGGGAATGGGTGGTGCACAGGATTTTGTATAAGAACTGTCAGAAGAGGGCGGTAATGTACCGTACACAAGAGTGGCAACTGCCGTTAAACCAAAAGAAGAAGAAGAAGAAGAAGAAGAAGACGCCTCTAATTCAATGAAAAGAAGAAGAACGGGCACACTACCATGGAGACGAGGGACGCCCGAGTGTGTGTAATGCCCAAAACAAACTAAAACGTTAGCCTTTTTGTAACACAAACAATGCGGAGCCGTAAAAAGGTTGGCTTCAGACTGAAAATGGACCCGTGACGCGCGCCTCTCATAAAGCACTATAGATACCAAGCTAGCAAACGCTGTTTTGTTGTGGATTTTAGCCTGTGGCCAGCTAACCCTTTTGTTTTTGACGCATGAAAGAAGAGTCGGGAGACGGGACACAAATGCTGGGAATAAAACTGTAACATAACTAAATATATAGTGTTGGGTTAGAAAGAGTGTTGCTTCAGAGGATGTGGAAACAAGGCAGTCGAAGCTCGGCTCTGGACCGTGCTCAGGCTCTGCTGTCGGCAAAAAGACAGGGCGGAGGAGGAGCCGGGTCTGTGCAGAAGTCTGGAGACAAAACCCGGGCACATGTGGTGAGTGTCACGCCTGTACAAGTCCAAGTGAAGTTTTGGTGGACATGTTGGTGGAGATGTCAACATTAGAGTTTCTGTCTCCTTTCTCTACAGGATGATCTAGGCGGGTCTATGAAAATCCGATCCGTACCCCTAAATACTCAGACCTTCCTCTCAGATCTAAGTGACCTGTCCTCTGTCAGCTCAGCTCCAGAGCATGGAGCTTCCACTGTGGGTTCTGCAACTGCATGGAGGACCCAGGACAGAAGCGAGGAGCCCACCAGGGTAAACAACCTGAAAAGATGTTACATGTATTTATGTAAATGAAATTAGGCTAGAAAAACTTATTTGTTTCAAAAATAGAGCTATTACTGAGAAACTGTGTGAGCCTTTTCATTCACCTTTACCAGGATCGCAGACCGCCAAGTTCTCTAGGTGGAGGAGGGAGCAGGTTCTTGAAGAAGGCTCCACCACCCGCAACTGATAGCAGTCAAGAGCCTGAACCCAGGTATGTTTTTTCAAACCTGTGACACAGGAAGTGTAACACTGAACATTTTTTTTAATGCTTTATTTACAGCTTTCACTAATGTGTTTTTCTCAACCCTCATCCCTCTGGGTAGATATGTGACGTCTTCACAGCGAAGTTCCCAGAATGCTGCTTTAAATAGACTTGCTCATATTGAGAATCGCATTCGCAGTCGTAAGCAGGCCCAGGAACAATCCAAGCAGGGGGCAGAACCTCCTGAGAGTGTAACTTCAGACCTGGAGCTCCCTGCGCAACTCTCAGCACAGTCCAGCAATGACCAGATCCTGCCAGGGAAACGTTTCCTTAAGAAGACCACAACTCATGCTGTTAACAGGAGTAATACTGCTGCTTTGTCTCCAAGAGAACCAAATGCTGGTGTCAGGTCCCGATCTAGAGCTGCTGATGTTTTCCCTTTGGCAAGTTTGGACAGAAAAACAGTGAGAGTAGTGAGCGGTGTGAGTCTGGAGAGTGATGAAGAGGACATGAAGAAGCTGCTTGGAGACTCGATTGATTCATTGGACAGCAGCTTCTTGAAACCAGGGAGACCCTCTTCTGCAAGCAAAGCAGACAAGGTACCAATCAACTTTAAACATCAGCAATTTTTTCATTTCCTCTGGGTTCAAGCTTGTAGCATTTTCACCTGATGCTTTGGGCTGGTGAGCAAATCATTGTATACACCCTTCAAATAATTCAAGACTCCGAAAAATTCCTTTCAAGTTTCTGGGAAAAGACCTAGAAAGAGTGTAAAGTTGTTGAATTAAAGCCTTGAATTGTCATGAGTTAAACCTTTACCCATGTCCTCTCGCTTCAGATTGACCCGTATAAAGTATGATCTGTAAACAACAGCACCGCAGTTTGAAGGTGCAACACTGTCCTCTAACTATGGACTCAGTTTCAGAATCTATGTCTCCATCTCTTTCTGCATATATAGTGTTTACTGTAAATAGCTAACACTAATTATCAATATGCCTCTTTGCAGTACGTACTTAAGAGATCAGTTGACTTAATAATGTGATAGAGTATCATATCAGTCATCAAAACAATCATCATGTCATAATCAACGCTAGCTAAGCAGTTTAAGCCCGTATGTTATGTATTGAAGTCATGTCTCCCTGGGACAACCCAGGCTCAACTCTAGCCATCTTTCCCACATGTCACTCCCTGCTCTTTCTCCTTATCTCCTGCTCTAGCCACTGTTCTGTTTTCCAAATAAAGGCACAAAAAACCTTAAAATAACTGGGAGAAAAAGATTAAATGCTCAGACACATGCCTTTGAAGCTGAAAAGTTGGCCTAGAAACTTGATAAACAGATATGTAAATGTTTCTGTGGCCACCAATACAGTAATTTTTTTTGATGAATGACTTTGCAAACCAAAATATCAAGCCTATTTTATATACATTCATGATCTTGAAGTTTGCCCTTTTTAAATTCACGTTCTGTAAACACAAGTGGGACACAAGAGAATTTGTTTTAGGTCACACATGAGCCCTGTGTCTGACATGTAACTCAAGGAAATCTGCAAAAGCTCTTTGGTTAACGAACACTGTTCTTTTAAATTAATGCAGCGCTGTCTTCCTGTCTTGTAGATGCTGAGCAAAAGCAGTCTAAAGGTCCACTCTACACATCCTCCTGCTGCAGTGTCCCCTAACCCAGCACCTCCTTGCTGCCCGGCCTCTCCATCTCACCGCAGCTCTCCTTTTCGATTTACAGGCCAGGGTCAGGCCCATTTCAGCCCCTCTGCACTCTCCCCATCCCCCTCCCCTCCTCAGATTTCCCCTTCTCCTCCTAGGAGACAGGATCACTCTCACAGGTCAGGCAGCCCACAGAGATCCTTCTCCTCCATGTCTGACCGCAGCCAGGCCATGTCTCTGGAGGAGCTTTTCCATGTCCGGCCAAACGCTAAAGATCCTCCAAGTGAAATTAGTGAAGTTTTCTCTGAAGGTGAGAGAAACTCAGCAGCTTAGAAAGGGCAATAAGAAAGATCTCAGTTTATGATATGAATCCAGTGTTTCCCACAATTATCTCAAAACATTTGTTTGAATGATTCAGGATGAGGAACCCTTTTTTAGGAGGGGAAACATGATGCCTGTGTTCACTTATAATGTTACATTTTTTCACCCTCCATCTTGAGCGTCCTAGATGGACTGCAAAGTACATAAATCATCCCTCTGCAAAGTTCCTCTAGACACAAGGGTATTTAGAGTCTGAAAAGCTTTTGCCAAATTCAAGGCACTTTCTGTGGAGCTTAAATTGAGTGTATCTGTAATTTTCTGACCTGTATCATTTTTAAATGTAGATCCATGTTATGAGGTTTTGACAGCTTCATTTTCTAGTTTTTCTAGTTTTCCTCAAAGTCCTGATACAGTTGAAAGTAAACTGTTCCATATGTTTATGTACTCTTTTTTTGTAAACTCTGTCCTGACTGTGTTATTGCAGACTTCAAGATAAATGAGATGACATTAGATGATCTAGTCCCTGCTGATCCTGGATTTACTGAAGCAACACCGGGCAGAGAGGTGGGCACTGGCAAAAACTTACAAAGTACTTTATTCAAAAATAATTTAGAAATATTTTAATAGTTACACTACAGGCCAAAAGTTTGGAAGCAAGGCCATTACAGGCCGAACAGTTGGGAGTAACATCAAGTTTTTGTTTACAATGCTTTTTTAAAAAATCCAGCACGAGTTGTATGTATTTTGGGATGTATTTACTCCATGATCAGATGTTGCTTTCATGGAAATGCACCATTTTACTCCATTTACCTTTAGATATACATTGATGTTAATAGACCATTGCTAAATATATGCCAGGAAAAGATAATAAGGGCTTAGTTTTAGGGTTGAAAACATTTGCAAGAGTCACAACTTCAGTGCAGAAGCAAAAAAGCAAATCACGGTTGGATTATTCACTTCAACTTTTTGGCTTTTGAGAGTCTGCATACAAAAATCCTAATAAATCTCAACTGCATTCAAACTACTGCAGAAATGGCTAGAAAGAAGCAACTGAGTAAAGAAACAAAAGTGCAGATTCGTACATTGAGAAAAGAAGGATACACAGAAAGAGAAATTGCAAAACGCCTAAAGGTGTTTAACAAAGGAGTCCATTACACTCTGAAGAGACTAGAGGAACCTGGAAGTTATGATGATAGAAAAAGACCTGGACGAAAGAGTGTTACTACAAAAGCAGAGGCTAAACATAGCATTGTCACCAGTAAGAGAGATCGGCAAAAGACAGCACCACAAATAAGGGAGGAAATCAACATGACAAAGTCGAAACCCATATCTCTGACAACTGTGAAATGACGTTTGAGAAAGGCTGGTCTGAAGGGTTGTGTATCTGCAAAAAACACTACTTCGTCCACAGAACAAGAAAAAGAGATATGAGTGGACAAAAGCTCACAAAATTTTGACTTATGATGACTAGAAACAAGTTCTCTGGACTGATGAAAGCAAGTTTGAACTGTTTGGGTCAAAACGCTGAGTCTATGTCTGCAGACAAACTGGTGAACGTCTGAAAGCACCATGTGTTACACCCACAATTAAGCATGGAGGTGGTAGTTCCATGTTATGGGGATGTTTTGCAGGTGATGATGGAGTAGGAGATATTTTTGAAGTAAAGGGTATCATGAGGAAGGAACAGTACCATTCCATCCTCCAGCACCATGCTGTTCCATCTGGACTCAGACTTGTGGTTCATAAGTTTGTTTTGCAGCAAGACAATGACCCTAAGCACTCTGCCAAGCTCTGTCAGGGTTACCTCGAGAAAAAAAGAAAAGGGAGGTGTTCTTCAATGGTTTGGCCCCCTCAGTCTCCTGACCTTTCTCCAATAGAGCTTGTGTGGGATGAATTGGATCTATCAGTCAGAAAATTGCGTCCCACGAATCAGCAGTCTCCTTTTAATGAACTTAAGAAAGCTTGAAATGCATCCCTGGAACATACCTTAAAAAACTTGTGGACCGAATACCTTGTATATGCCAAGCTGTTGTTAAAGCCAGAGGAGGTTACTTTAAAGAAAGCAAAGTCTAAGCAACAATAACTCAAATACCTAATAATTATAGTCAAAATGTCTTCTGATAAGTTACTCTTTACACAATAGTCATGTTTATTGTGTTGCAAATTATATTAATGAAACTATTTTTTTGTACAAATCTGATCTTGCTTCCAAACTCTTGGCCTGTAGTGTACATATAATGAAAAATGACACAGTTAAAAAGTTGTAATCTTACGGTAGTCAGACAAAATTGAAATGGTCTTGTTAGGTGAACTAACTAATTTCAACAGGCTTGCAACAACATTTCCATTGTTCCATACATTGACACCATGTAACTTCAGGTCGCAAAGTACTACATACTGTTACTTATTACTACTTTGGGTTGATTAAGTGATCGGTGTAAAGTTATGAAGTGCATGTCAGTGTTAAGTGTATTACCAACAGGGATCCCAGTTCAGCCCCATTGTGACAATTCCAGCGCTGGAACTGTCACACTGCTGCAGAGGGGGTCACATTTACTGTACAGCTTGGCTAATTTTCAGAAAGTCTGACCCAGACTCTGTCAGTGTAAAAGTTTGTGCCATTTAAAAGTTTTTCAATGCCTTTACTTTGCAGTCAGAGAGCTCATCTGTTTGTCGTCCTCTGCCTGCAGCAAACTGAGCTATCCTTTTGAGAATGTATTCATTGTTAGTGAGGCTAATTATTTTTGTGTTGTGTTTTTTTATGATGACCATGATTGAGGTTGTTGCATCTCTTCTTTTGCCTAAGCAGGAAAAAGCCAAAAACAGCTCCTTTCAACAACCACAGAGACTAAAGCAGGAGGACATGCTTGACTACCAAAGTGACTTTGAGAGTGAGAGCAGGACAGAGCCAGATAACAGTGCCAGCCAGGTTTCAGAGCATTTGCAAGCACATGGAGATGAAGAGGAGATTGTATCAGAGGTTATGGACAAAACTGAAGATTCACATGTTTCCCATGGGAAGACGGAAGATGATTACTCAAGCACTTTCTCAGGCACAAGTCCCCCTCACACCTCACAGACTGCAAATGAAAGTCGAACATTCAATAGAAGCAGGGACTCCAGATCTTCAGTATCACATGTCAGACGGTCTAGGAGGCGTACCTCGGCTGACAAAGTTTTCAAAGACTCTGCAGTGCAGACTCAGCCTGATCCACTGGCTCACATAGGGCCTGCTGCTGGTTAGTTTGATATCATCACCAGCTTACCAGGATTTACTTGACCAAGAGTGTGTTTGAAGTTGAGATGCATTGTGGAGGTACTCAATACTGGCATTGTTTGTCTTATTTTGTCTCTGTCTCCCATCCTATTGTAGGTATGTCAGCTTTAGGACCTGCAGTGGGCACAGTTTACACACATCCCAGCCCAATGGTTACCCATACTCTCAGTGCAGACATGGTAGAAGGTAAGGTCTTTTAGTTTAGTGTATTGATAAAGCCAGGAGACAGCTAGTCAGGCTTAGAGACTACCTCAGTCAGGAAGCCAAGAAGTCACTATGTATGTGCAAGAGATGGAGGTTCTGGTATTTGGACCCGGCTGTTTCCTTTTGTTTCCAGTATTATTGTTAAGCTAACTGATATTCTTTCTTTAACCACATAGTGAGGAAAATCTCAGTTACAGATATTTGTGCTTGAAAGTGTTAACACAGCACTAATTCTGTGATGTCTCCCTGTCAGCTCTCAGCACCTTCAATCCAGCTGCATTTGCACTCAATGAAATCCTAAAACAGCAACTTGCCATGATCAGGCGTTCCATTGAACGCAACCGGGAACTCCATTACAGCCTGGTGCGAAGCCTGGAACCACCAAACTACAGATACACAACGCTGGAGGACACCAAAAAGGTAAAGCACAAACAGACACATCGATTGTTCCTGTTCTTGAGAGATCACTGTTGTCTTTCTCCGTAAATCATGACTTTACAAATGACGTGACTGTTTCATTTTAACTTCATTGCTCTAGTTTGTATAAAACACAGCTGACAGATTTGCATAAATATTTTTTTCACGAGTGATTGATTGTGCACAACTTTTCTACATCATATGACAGGGAAGATACCTGCCTTTAGCCTTTAAATTGCTATCATTACCTAAATTTAAGCCTCTCTGTAAATTTCAGATAATCCTCACTCATAATTTAATCTTCATTTCTTTTGTCTTTCCACAGTTGATTAGCAAGCAAAGACCTAAATTCACAGAGGAGGATACCTTGGAAGAGTTGATGAAAACCATCATCACATTTGACCACTGAAATGTTCATGTACTTGTGTATTTATCACCATGCGGGGAATGCAAGACTCATGGCTTTTCCTTTTCATAAAGAAGAGTTTTGAACAGTAGTCTGTGTTTGCCCCACAGAGAGGATGAAGAGATGCGTTGTCCGGGTTGAATAGGTATTGATGGTTAGATGAAGCTCTGGGGTCTCCTTCAGATCTGTGCCCAAATAGACTTCAAGCTTTGAAGCTTCAGACTCAGCAAACAAAGTGACATCTACGGGCTTGTAGATTTAATGACAGCCCCTTTAAACCCTGTAAAACAATAAACTTAAAGTCCTCTCCAACATTGAAATATTCCTTTGTACTTCTGTTATTATGGGATATGTGATATTTTATAGTATCTGATATTTTAGACACTAAAACTACCAAAAACCTCTGCTGAGTGTTTAAAATTAGGAAGTTTGTTTTGATGTATTGATGCCATACGTACAGCTACATAATCCTGGAAACTATAGACTGTTCCAAATACTTAACAGTTGACTCCATATTTCTTTAAAATGTTATTATCATGTAAAAAAGTAAAATTTTGCCTCAAAATCACCCTGCCAAATAAAGATCTCTACTCGTGAAGTAACAAAATTTTTATTTAAAAAATAACACATACAGTATGTTTAAAGTCTGACCAGATTTCCCAGTTTTGATCACTAACAATAACTTCAAATGTTTGAATGATAAGTGCTGATTTGACACAATCTAAGGACAAACTCTGATGCTGCAATTCAAGAACATTTATATATGATGTGAGGGGTGGTTATTGTGTGTGTGGGGCTGGTTGAAGGCACAAATTCAGGTTGTTGTTGGAGTGATCAGTATGGATCGTTGAAAGGATAGTGAGGATGTCCTGCATCCCTGGGGACACGTTGTCCGTCCACCTGCACCATTGAAAAAGCAGTTAATACTTTGTTCTCAGTTGCTGTCATGCTGTTGTATTAACCACAATGGGAAAATACTTTAAATAAAGTCATACTTTCTCTGTAATGACCAAACATTTGTTTGTTTCAAAAGTAAGGTAAGCTGTATAATTACCCTAAATTTTGGTATACACTGCATTTTAAGAAAACTGTGGTGCACTATTGAAGTGACAAGAGAATTCCCTCTGAGAAACTTTAAAAAAGCTACGGTGCTACTGCCTGGGTGTGTACATTATGATGAGATTCTTCAGAGATACACACGTGGACAAAATTGTTGGTACCCCTCAGTTAAAGAAGGAAAAACCCACAATTCTCACTGAAATCACTTGAAACCTACAAAAGTAACAATAAATAAAAATTTATTGAAAATTAAATAATCAAAATCAGCCATTACTTTTGAATTGTTGATTAACATAATTATTTAAAAAAAACAAACTAATGAAATAGGGCTGGACAAAAATGATGGTACCCATAACTTAATATTTTGTTGCACAACCTTTTGAGGCAATCACTGCAATTAAACGATTTCTGTATTTGTCAATGAGCGTTCTGCAGCTGTCAACAGGTATTTTGGCCCACTCCTCATGAGCAAACTGCTCCAGTTGTCTCAGGTTTGATGGGTGTCTTCTCCAAATGGCATGTTTCAGCTCCTTCCACAGATGTTCAATGGGATTCAGATCTGGGCTCATGGAAGGCCACTTTAGAATAGTCCAACGCTTTTCTCTCAGCCATTCTTGGGTGTTTTTGGCTGTGTGTTTTGGATCGTTGTCCTGTTGGAAGACCCATGACCTGCGACTGAGACCAAGCTTTCTGACACTAGGCAGCACATTTCTCTCCAGAATGCCTTGATAGTCGTCAGATTTCATTTTACCTTGCACACATTCAAGACACCCTGTGCCAGATGCAGCAAAGCAGCCCCAAAACATTGCTGAGCCTCCTCCATGTTTCACCGTAGGGACAGTGTTCTTTTCTTCGTATGCTTGGTTTTTGAGTCTATGAACATAGAGTTGATGTGCCTTACCAAAAAGCTCCAGTTTGGTCTCATCTGTCCAAAGGACATTCTCCCAGAAGCTTTGTGGCTTGTCAACATGCATTTTTGCAAATTCCAGTCTCGCTTTTTTATGATTTTTTTTCAGCAGTGGTGTCCTCCTTGGTCGTCTCCCATGAAGTCCACTTTGGCTCAAACGACGACGAATGGTGCGATCTGACACTGATGTACCTTGGCCTTGGAGTTCACCTTTAATTTCTTTGGAGGTTGTCCTGGGCTCTTTGGATACAATTCGAACGATCTGTCTCTTCAATCTGTCATCAATTTTCCTCTTGCGGCCACGTCCAGGGAGGTTGGCTACTGTCCCGTGGGTCTTGAACTTCTGAATAATATGAGCCACTGTTGTCACAGGAACTTCAAGCTGTTTAGAGATGGTCTTATAGCCTGCACCTTTAAGATGTTTGTCTATAATTTTTTTTCGGATGTCCTGGGACAATTCTCTCCTTCGCTTTCTGTTGTCCATGTTCAGTGTGGTACACACCTTTTCACCAAACAGCAGAGTGACTACTTGTCTCCCTTTAAATAGGCAGACTGACTGATTATGAGTTTGGAAACACCTGTGATGTCAATTAAAGGACACACCTGAGTTAATCATGTCACTCTGGTCAAATAGTTTTCAATCTTTTATAGAGGTACCATCATTTTTGTCCAGCCCTATTTCATTAGTTTGTTTTTTTTAAATAATTATGTTAATCAACATTTCAAACGTAATGGCTGATTTTGATTATTTAATTTTCAATACATTTTTATTTATTGTTACTTTTGTAGGTTTCAAGTGATTTCAGTGAGAATTGTGGGTTTTTCCTTCTTTAACTAAGGGGTACCAACAATTTTGTCCACGTGTGTATATATTATTACTATTAATACTGCTGTGATATATATATATAAATTTTTATTATTTTTTTTAGAGCACACCAAACCAAACCACGTTTTGATATATAATTTGTCCAACTCTTCAAACTGTAGGACTAGTGAGAAATCGAAATTTGTCCGGAAGAGAATTAAAGGGATATTCTGCCGTAAAATAAAGTTAGGGTCAAACACACTGTAACACCGAGTTAGACACCCCCTCGAGCGATGAATTTGCCGACCGCTTCCTTCTCTAGTTATATCAACTTCAGTAACGACCGCACAATAGCAATACAGAGAGCCATGTGCCGAACCAAAAAGCAACTCTATAGCCACAAATAATGCTCAGAACAACTTCATCAGCAGTACATATAGGGTCCCAGTCACAGCACTCGCCACCAAACATTTTTTTTTATCTTTGCCTGATTTTTTTAGCAAAGAGACTAAACACAACTCACCTACTCACTTCCAGCCGCCGCTTGTCTGTACGGAGACCTCCAGGCGAGTCCACCAACTGCTGCGGGGTGATGCAACTTGAGGAAGAACATTTATGATCATTGCTTTATAACTTCCTTTAAGTAATAATCATCATTAATATCATTATGCACTGCAGACATGGTAGTTCTTCTGCTTTAGTGTCTAGGCCTGATTACATTTCCATGAAGTAATAATCATAAATGTTCTTCCTTGAGCTGCGTCACCCCGCTGTAGTCGATGGACCTGCCGGAGGTCTCTGTACAAACAAGTGGCTGCTGGAAGAGAGAAGGTAAGTTGTGTTTGGTCTCTTTGCTAAAGAAATTAGGCAAAGCTAAAGAGATGTTTGGTGGTTAGTACTATGGCTGGCACCCTATATGTACTGTTAATGAAGTTAGGTGCTGTTCTGAGCATTAATTACGGCTATAGAGTGGCTTTTTGGTTGAGCACATGGCTCCTGGGACTGCTGTGTATTCCCACCGTGCGGTCATTACTAAAGTTGGTATAACTAGAGGAGCAAGGGGTCAGCAACGATAATCTTTCGACGGGGTGTCTAACTCAGTGTAATAGTGTGTTTGACCCTTACTTAATTTTACGCCGGAATATCCCTTTAAGAAAAAATCCACAGTACAACAATAATGCCTCGGTGTGTTCGCCCCGTGGCCCCGTTTAAACTTTGTGGAGAGCTGGTTTGATTGAAAGGACTCCTTAGTCTAAAACAAGTCCTTAGTAGAGATGAGTGTCAAGTCTAGAAAAATGGATGCAGGCAGTGAGCCGTCTGTACCTCACAGCTATCACTGCTGCCATAGGCTGTGCTAGACTTGAAACTGGCAGGGTGGCAATAAATGATGTTTCTTAAAAGAGCTACACATCTCCATAGAATCTGAGCATTACTGAAAAACCTAAATGCTAGAGCAGAGTTGAACCTTACCTGTGACAGTCCCCCCAAACACAAAATGCATACATATTTGTGTGACTTCTAATCCAGATTTGTGGTCATTTCTATGTTAACATTGAAAACAAAATTCAACAGTGTCCATTAAACAAGTAGACTACACAAAACCCACTCACTGTGATCATTGGCACAATGTAGCGCCACCCTTTGTTTAACGCTGTCATACTTTTCATTTCCTCTGCTTCGAGGGTAAAGTCAAACACCTGAAATCACACAATCGACAAAATATTAATTCAACACTTTTCCAAACAAGGGTTGCTGAGAAAAACCAAGTCTTTAACTTTCAATAACTGAATTAAGTTTAAGATCAAGATGTTGTGGACAAAGGCTGCAGTGACTGAGATTTCTTTCACCTGAATGTTCTCTTTGATTCGGGATTCTGTCACACTCTTCGGGATTGTTACCACACCTCTTTGTGTCTGCCACCTGCAAATACAAAAAACACCCACTTAAGTGTAAAGCTCCTGTCATATTCCAATCTGGGTTTAAGTGACACTCACTTTAATGTTAAGTTCCATCTTTGTACTTTTTTCATGGATTCCCTCCCAACAACTACTATGGAATTCAAATGCAGCAAGTAAATAAACTGAAGATGCTGAATTTGATGCATACATGTGAATGTTGATGTTTGGCTGTTGTTGGTCCTCAAATGGGTCTGAAAGTGTCAGTGTTTCAAAATCAAGATAGGGACTTTTTCCTTTAAGACTTCCTTTCTGAAATAGCCTATGAAATAAACGATGGCTACAAAACACCCACAGTGAGACAACACAAAACACCCTGCTCTGTAAACTGTTACCTCAAAATAATCTGGGCAGGAGACTTTTTATATTTCTCTGCTAGAGCAGTGAGCACTGGTTCCTGAAGCAGAACAGGTTCATCAGGATGTTTCCAGGCCCGGTCTGGAGAACCCAGAGGGCTGTAGGCTGTCATCACCAGGCCCCGGTCACGACAGTGGGCCAGAAGCTCTACCTGGGCCAGATAGGGGTGACCCTCTACCTACCAGAGCAAAATAAAGAGGAATCAGTTTCACCTGTAGCTGTCAGAGCACTCAACCTGAGGTATGTTCACATTTCTTTCACTTACCTGCAGGACAGTGGGTTTGATGCTGGCCACGGACAGGATGTCATCAATCTGTCGGCTGTTGAAGTTAGACAGACCAATGGATCTGACGAGGCCTTTCCCCACAAGTTTCTCCATGGCAGCCCAGGTCTGCTTGTAGTCTATGTTGTCATACAGTAAAGTGCCGTCCTCTTTTTTGGGAAAAGGAACATCTCCTTGTCTGTGAGAAAAAGAGAGAAAGCAAGCCACATTAACAAGACAGCTTAATAAGAACAGCCATGGACAAACAGATGGAAAAGAAACAGACTGCCTTTCATTAAGTCCTTCAGCATTTTAACCTGTAAAGTTTTTTATTTTTATTTTTGTTTTGTTTTTTGAGGTTACATATGGAGCTATACACCTATATTTATTTGACGACTTAATTTTTGTCAAAAATATCACTGGGGCTTTTGGCTTTTATTAATAAATCTTCATCTTCAGCTGTGGCTATGTCCCATTTAAACTGTATCAGTGTGAATATTTTTGCTGCACTCTCTGTAGGAGGAGAGCGTCACAGCTGAGCTACGGGTATTCACAACAAGAATTGAATAACAGCCATACACTGAATACGTTATGGACTGACTCCGCCTTCTGTCATGATACAAATTTGAAGCCGAATTGCCCTCAGTAATTCAGGGATTTTCTCCACTTCCTGGAACCACCACTTGCGTAGTAGCATTGTGCGCATTCGGAGGGGGGAGTCACCGAGAGTCGCTGTGATGAGGCTCAGCTCAAACAGCGTATTCCCCGGTGAGCTTCGCAATCTTTGTATCAAGTGTCAACCATAGAAAACACGAACCCCCTAATAACTTTTAAAAATGGAGCTTCACAGAAAAAAAGAGTACTTAAGCCCAAACCAGTCTTACAGTAACTCCATGTCAACATTGCAACCAGGGGGGAGAAAAATGTATATTCTGTGTAATAAATTTCTTAAGTTTGTCCACAGCTCCATAAGGATTGCTGGAGGAGGTAGGATTTATGACCTGTACTGCAGCCCATCAACAGAGGGTGCTGTTCTCGGAGTGGCGTCACCCAGCGAGGAGACAGACTGCGTCCATTCTATATACAGTCTATGATAACAATATTCAGTAGTGGTCTGATAATGTCAGCATAAGATTATAAGTGCCTCTATGCTCTGATAAAAGAAGCCTTCTCAGTAACTTTAACTGTCATTTGGGTGAAACTCAGCTAAAACAATCCCTACAAAGGCCGCCATGTTGATAAATGGGGATTTTTTGCCCTCTTAAATTGTACATTGATCGAAAAAGGCCCATATTTGTTTGGCTCTTGTTTATAATGGCATTATTTCTTATCCCAAGTAAAGCTGAATGTTGTGTTTGGGTAGTGAATTAGTCATGAAGTAGTAGCTCACTGGAAGGCATAGGGCCAGTGAATGAGGTAGAGGTCCAGGTATTCAAGCTTCAGGTCCTTCAGAGTCTTCAGCAGAGCGGGCTCCACGTCTTCTGGGTGATGTTTGTTGTTCCACAGTTTGGATGTGACAAACACATCCTCTCGTCTCATGGACTACAGCACAGACAAAATGTGAGATATAATGAGTTACATGTAAGTGTAACAATCCAAATATACAGCAAGTACAGGCAGAGCAAACAATGAGACATCCGGCTAAGTAATGACTGAACCTTTGTAAGATTAATCTGGACCTATACCTTTTGATTATTGACCGAAAAAAATCACACATTGATGCAGAAATACCATTTGTTGAAGCAGTTTTACCTTCCCTGGGCCAAATGTCTCCTGTAAGGCTTCTCCAATCTCCACTTCATTGCCATAGATCGCTGCACAGTCAATGTGGCGATACCCAGCCTCCAACGCCCAAAGAACTGCTTGTTTCACCTTTTAACATGAAATAGTAGAAGTCTAATTTTAACACTGACTGAGGAGTGGCACAAGCAGACCTGCAGGCATGGCCAAAAATGATCAGGCTTTAATTTTTTACATTCACTGTCTGACACGGAAAAAGGGAAATCACAAATTTAGTTGCTGTAAGTTACTGTTGTATGCACAAATCTCAAGCATACAGACAGTGTTTACATCACAGCCAGCAACACTTGATGTCAGAACACACAGTCAGCAGACCATATTTATTATTAAAACATTGATAGGTGCAGTTTTAGCGTGTATATATTTCAATATTTCTTTGGCTTTAGGATAAGGGAAATGCTTAAATGAGCAGGGACACAAATCAGAGAGCTTTGCTGCCTGTTTTACGACATTCATCTGAAAGAGATGAGATTAAAAATGCAGGTTTTTTCTTTAAAGGGTTGAATATTATCAAAGAATAAAAGAGAATCTTACCTGTCCAGGCTCACTCTTCCATGTTCCCAATCCAATGAGGGGCATCTTACGCCCCGTGTTGAGAACTGCAAAGTCATTCATGCCTCTCAGAAGCACCTTAACAGGACAAGGAGAGGTTGATTCAGTCAGTGAGGAGAGCTAACTGATGTTTAAAGCTACAGTAGCAAGACAGCTGTTCAAAAGTACACCTTATAATTGGTCTTAAATACATACTCAGACTGCAAATATGGAGTTACATCATCCAAAATGCTCCAAGAGTTACTGCTGTCTAACATAGAAAACCTACGCTGGTAAAAAAAAAACATGATTTAAGCCACTTAAGATTAACAGGACAAACATTTTACTGCGCAAAAGCAAAAAAGCAAAAAAAAAAAAAAAAGGGTGCTGATTCTATGGGCAGAATGAAATGGCTTTGTTATAGATCAAGGAGGGAAATACAGAAAGATACTGAAGTTGCAAGAGTTGTTTCAATGTGGAACAATATTTCACAGTCCTTCATGTAACTATATTACAAAGAAAATGAATCACAGTGCAACCAGATCGCAGATTTCAAAATGCAGGGCTGTGCACAATCTGAGGACGTTCTGTTCACCAGTTTTATCCAAAGCAGATCAAAGAGATTACTAACTTTTAAAACCAATTAAAAACAATGAGAAGCTGACACATGAAGCCAAGACAGTAACAAAGAATTAGCCAACACCAACATGTCTTACTTCTCTCATGAATCAGTGTTTACACCATATAGCTACCATTTTAAAGCTTGTGTCAGGGGACAGCTGCATGAGACACTGATATAACACACAAATAACAATGCATGTTTTAAAGAGTTGTTCAGAAAGTCCAGAAAGGCTTTTACCTTTTCTGGGATCTCAAAGGTTCACTGATTTTTACCTAAAGTTTCTCTCTGTTCTTGTTTGTTTGAGGTTTTGGAAAGACAAACTACTCATGATTAAAAAGAAAAACCTTCTCTCTACAGAGATGTGAGAAGGAATGTGCACAGCGGCTCATTCTGGCTCAGCAGACAGAGGAAGAGAGGAAAGTGCTGACTTGCATTTCCTCCAAAAGTCCCTGTACTGAACTTTTTGTGGAACATATGAAAGACTGTAACTTTTCTTTATAATAATCATATGTGTCTTTCTGTTTTACATCTGTGACAATACTACAGTGTTTGTCATTTTGTTAATACAACATTTTCTACTGCAGGTTTATGTGTCTGGTCTCTGGCTGACCAGTAATCAAATCTGTAGAGTGCCTTTACATTAACATCTTGAAAATCACCAGTAAATCAGATGTCATCATTGCCACATGTTTGTGAGTGTGAGATTTTCAGTTTTCACAATGTTATTGAGTGACAGGATGTAAAGCTTTGTATAAACTGACTTAATTCTGAGCCTCTCTGCAAATAATTGGAGAGTCCACAGAGTCGCAGAAAATCTACTAAAGCAGCTTCAAGTGGTGACTGTAAGGCATCTTTCCACAGACAGTTTTGTTTTCTGTAAGGGGAGTACAATCCTAGAAGTTGGCACCTGTTCACTCAAAACCAACTGCAAACTTCACCTGTTCTAAGACAGCTACTAAATCATTGTTAACTCAGCAACAAACCGGACTATCTTTGCACATGGCACCAAGAAAAACGCAATTAACATTCTAACATATTTAAGAACTTAAAAGACCAAAGGCCTCTGTTGTTCGTTTTTTAAGCTATTTAAGATTTGACAGATTACTGAGTGATTGTGGGGATATTTGAAGGTAGATTAACATTCAGACCCCTTAAATGTACTGTGTATAGAAGCAGGAGTGCTAAGCATTATCTAGTGGTCAGACTCTGGACTGAAATGCTCCCCAGTTAACCTAGAAGGGACAGGGTCCTTTGAGTTCAAGAAGAACCTGTGATGCATCAGTATGATCCTCTGTTAAGTTTTTATCATCAAAAAAATACCATTTTTAAATATCAAACTATTTTGTAAGCAACCACTTTATTTTTATTTTTCCTTTTCTTGCAACAGATGCATTTCAGCAGCCACTCACAAAATACAACAACATGTAAGGCTCTAACTACCCTTAAGAGTATGGTGGTGAAAGATGATGGCCTTCGTGGAAAGGGACAAGCTACTCATATTCAAAGGTCATTATAAGTTCACAAAACATTTTCTTTTATTCAGTCAAGTGGTTACACACTAATCAAGCATACTCGTGAATATCATAATACACCTCCACTAGGTTTGGAGGAAGGCCTTTGAGTGCTTTATGTACTATGTTTCTGTGCTTCCTTTCTCTTTTCAAATCCTGTTAAAGCTGCCCTGTTTTGCATTGTCCTTGGTTAAATCACATCTCTGCTGCATGTCAACCTTCTTTATTGCATTTGTTGCAGTTTTATCACAGCCGTGCATCTTAAGTAAAAACATCGAAAACACTGAAATACAATCAAGAACCAGGGCCTGATCTAAGTGCAATCAGCACTGATGTAAGGGACCCGTGGTCTCTGCCATCTCTCCAGACAAAGAGCAGACATGTCCACAGAACGTTTTCCACATCTGACAGCTGATTCCACGGGAAGTCACGCGCGCGAGACACACCTCAAAAGCTGACCTCGAGCTCAGCAGCACTGACACCTCAAATATGAAAACCTGTTCACCAAATGTCAAGCTACAGTGGCGTTTGCACGAATATTAACCCAACGTTAGCACATGATGGAAGATGAAAGATGTGCAAATACGGCCACCGTGGTGACAAATAGTGACACAGCGGATAAGTGTCAGGTGTCACTGGGTTCAGACAATGGTTAGAGATTTCACAATATTAATAACACACTACTTTTTGGGATAGCAGCTAGCTTTAGCTTTAGCACCAAATCAAAATAACTATTAAACTTGACATAGCGTTAATATATTAAGGCGATTTACACTGCGCATTCAAGATAAGCTTATGCCAGACGCTAAAACCTTCACCTTCCTGCAACTGTCCCGACAGAAACGCCGTAAGACCTGCTTCAGGACCGACATTTGAGTGAGTGCATAAGCGGCTCCGCTCAGCATTGATGTTACATAACAATGACAGCAGCGCCCTCTCTAACTCACCGTCTCCAGGTCCTCAAAGCTGCGTTTCAGTGAATGGGCTTCTTCTTCTTCTTCTCTCCTTCACAACAGAACAAATAAGCCCGACTGCCGTTTTCTGCCAACTGTTCAAAAACACCACCTCATGCAAGTGACTTTTCCCTTTCCGGGATGATCAGCCCTCCATATCCGGTGAACATTTTTTCCATAGTATTAATATACAGACCCTAACCAGACAGAATCAGACAGCTCGATCAGTTCAAGTAGTTAACAAAGGCTTTAACTGTTCACACTCCAGTTCTGGTTATTATAGGGGTTTCCAATGAGAGAAAAAAGGTGTGTCGATAATTCATTACATTCAAATGCAAAAGGGTGTGTAGAATAGAAATAAATCACATGATTGATATCGGACATTATAACTAACTCAAACACAAGTGCTAAAACCATACTCTATGAAGGAAAAACAGCTATTCTTTCGTGTTAAGACCAGCTTAAAACATAGTAGAGAGTAGACTATTTATGGGCTGAAGTCAATATATAATAATAAATACAATAATAACTTTTATTATTATTATTATTATTATTATTATTATTATTATTATTATTATTATTATTATTATAACCAAAATAATAATAGTCATAATAGTCATAATAATGACTTTATTTATATAGACATTGAAAAACAAGGGTTTACAAACAGCTTTTTCCATCTATCTCCCTCTTTCTTCATCTTCCTCTCTCCCCTCTCAAAACTTGAGGTTTCTACAAAAGGAAGTTCTTCCTCTCCTCTGTAACCTGATAAATGTGGTAAAGTGTTGGGCTTGTGGTTGAAGACGAGATGGGGGTAGGTCTGCTCTTACATGATAGGGCTTAGTCTTATCTCAAATTTACATTGGGTCTGTGTCGATATGTTGAAGAGCATGATCTAGAGCGGCTCCTTTTTAATGCATCTTGAGATAGCTTTTGTTTTGAATTCACACTTTATAAACAAAGGTTGGCACCATTTGTAGTGTTGAAATATCTCGACCATTAAAGTTATTAGTTTTTGATATTATTTTGTGTAACGCTAGGTTACTTACAATGATTCGTCATCACATACACAGATGGAGCTCTTCATTGCAAAAACACTGAGATTGCCCTTTTTCAGGTGTTATCCTCAAGTCTCAGAGCCTTCAAAAAAATCCCCACTTGTAAAACGTGTCTTTTCAATATTATTTTTCAATATTCATCAAACTTTATTCAACTTAATCCCTGCGTGACGTCTCGACAATATGTTGCAGAGATATTACATTTTTGCAAGTGTCGTTTCATTTTACACCCATGTTTTGTCATTCATACTGGCATTTGTCATATACCTAAACTGTTTCTATATTGAAAAATATATTAAGGTGTTTAATTCTGAATATTTTAAATTTACATAACCTATTCATGTAACCTATAGATTACATTAAATCATAATCCAATCAGATATCTGAGATTTTGAGCTGCAGGTATAGGAAAATAGAAATAATGCTGCCAAAATCAAACAATGTTCATATTTACAGCCGACCTCATCCACAAGCTGAAGCACAGCATGGCGAGTGTCAATAAAAGTTTCCTACTATTTCCTACAAACGACCAAGTATAGGCTGTACTGGCTGAGTGACATTGTGTTGGTTCGTTCCACTTCAGTGGGGCAACATAAACTGTGATTCATAAAATAGCTCTATTGATAGTAAGTACTAAAAAAAATATCTACTCATGCCATCCTGTCGATTTTTAGTAATCAGTGTTTCGGCGTCGAACTATTTCCTTTTTGCAGCGTAGTAATACTTGCACACGCGCAATCGAATATGCAAAGGGGTGAAGCAATTTTTGTCACGTGGACCAATAGGAGCCGAGTCTGGTTGCCATAGTATCAGAAGTACACACACATGGCGACGAGTGCATCTAGCAGCGAGACAAGCGAAGAGGAAGAAAAGAAAAGGAAAAAAGAAAACAGCCTTCAAAAGTGCATTAAAAGGGAACGAACTTATGCTATATGCATATATCATCTGTCCAGAGTGAAGACGTTCTCGAATTTACAAGGACACTTTGGGAAACTTACAGAACTAGTATTAGAAAGTGGCTTTCTCTACAGGGTGAGACAAAGAACCTTGCAGAAACTTATAAACATTGCGTTGATATCGACTTTGACAGTGTTCCTTATGACGCTGGGTTTCACATGACATGCTATCACCGATTTATTTGCAAAAGG